GGAAGAGCCACTGTAGAGAGTGGGACAGTGAGCTGACAAGGGAGGTATAGTAGGATGCTACCTAGAAGAAGAGAGGGTCTAGTTGAGGTTGTTTAACATAAATGTGTACTGGACCCAGTCAGAACAATTTCCTGAATTTCTCCACCTTTTTTGGGAATGATGGAAGTGATCCAAAGCTGAGGCATGGCTGAGTGTAATCTACAATATGATAAGAGGGCTAGGGATTCAAAAGAGGGGGGACAGTGTAGAGTTGTAATTGGCTCACCAAAAGGTCAAGGTGGGAAAAAAAGTAAAGAGTGGCTAGTGCAAGGGACATGACCTGGGAAAGAATTGAGAGGTCAAGGGATTGAAGGTCATGGTGTGAATAAAGAGTAGGGTTTTATAAGGGAAGGCAGAGGGAGAGGTAAAAAGCCAATACATTATGGTTAGGTAAAGGGATTTCAGAATTCTTGAATTGGAATTTGTGGGTGATGGCAAAATCAAGGGTATGACTATCTTTGTGTGTGGCTGGGGTGGGGTGGAGTAGCTCATGGGAAGTGAACAGGTTGAGGAATTGAGTGGTTAGGGAGTGTGATGGATAGTCAATATGTATGTTGAAGTCTCTTAGTATGAGGGCAGGTGCTGGGGAGAGAAAAATTGTGATACTGAACTTATTAAGGAAGGAATGTAAATGACCTCAGCATCTGTTGACAGCAGCTACCAGGATTCTGACTGGTGGGTAGATCTAAATAGCATAAACCTCTAAGTAAGAAAGGTTACCAAGAGATGGAGGTAGAGAGAAAACCTAGAAGTGGCAATGGGGAGCAACGCCCCTGCTTTGACAAGTGAGTAGAAGAGAATGAGTGAAGATGCAGTCATTACTGGAAAGGCTGGCCAGGGAATTTGTGTCATTGTCTATGGTACTTTTTAGCAAAATGTAGCTTCCCTGTTTATCTCTGTTAATTAGTTCTATTTTTGCTATTGCTTTGTCTAGGATCATGACTGCTACTCCTGTCTTTTTACTTCAGCTGATGCATAACAGATTCTCCTCCAGCCATTTATTGTAACTTTGTGTGTATATTTTGGTTCAAGTGTGCTTCAGGTAAATAATATATTTTTGGATTCTGGTTTCTAATCTATTCTGCTATCATTTTCTGTTTTATGAGTGATCTAATTCCATTCACATTTATGATGGTTAATTGCATATTTCCTTCATCCTATTCTCTTATACTTTTCCTTCTCTTTGTTTCCTGTCACATCTTTAAGAGTTTGTTTTGCTTCTGAATAATCACTTCTTTAATTTACCCTCCCTTTTTATTTCTCCCATTCCTTTAACCTTTTCCCCTGTCATTTTTCTGTTGGGTGGAATGTATTTTTGTAGCCAACCATATGTATATGAGTATTCTTCCCTCCTTTGACCAATTCAGATGAGAGTGAGGTTCAAATGTCACCTGCTTCCCTGTACTTCTTCCTCCAAGTTGTAGATTTCTATTTGCATACTCCATGTATGTGAAAAAATTTCCCCCATTCTTACTCTTCCTTCTGCTTTCCACCATGTATACTCCTTTCTCCCTGCCTTTCACTTCTTCATTTTAATATCTTCTAAACATAACAGATACAGTACCTGAACCTCTGTCTAATTAAGACTTTTTCTATGATCCATTATGATATTAGATCCATTATGATAATAGAGTTCTGAGGGGATACATGTAGTACCTCCCCATATAAAAATCTAAATAGTTTATTCTTGTTTAGTCCCTTATGATCACTCACTCATGTTTATCTTTTTATGCTTCCCTTGATTCCTATATTTACATGTTAAATATTCTACTCAGCTCTGGTCTTTTCGTAAGGAATGCTTGGAAGTCCTCTATTTCATTAAAGACCTAATTCCCCCTGCAGGATTATACTAAGTTTTTCTGGGTACATTCATTCTTTTTGGCTGCAAGCCTTAGACCTATTGTCTTCTGGAATATTATTTTCTAAGCTCTCAGTTCCTTTACAGTGGTGGCTGGTAAATCTTATGTCATCCTGACTGTGGCTCTATGGTACTTGATTTTTTTTCTGGCTGCTTGCAGTTATTTTTTTTAATTTTTCGACCTGGGAGTTCCAGATTTTGTATATAATATTCCTCCGAATTGCCATTTTGAGGCTTCTTTCAGGAGGTAACTGATGGGCAATTTTCAAGATTTCTTGAAATAGAAGAATGCCCTAGGCTCATTTTTTTTGGGGGGGGGGCTATGACTTTAGGGAAGTCCAAAAATTCTTAAATTATCTCTATTTAATCTGTTTTCCAAGTCAGTTGTTTTTGCTATGAAATAGCTTACCTTTTCTTCTATTTTTTTCCAGTCTTTTAACTTTAGTCTTGTTTTTTTTTTCAGTCTTTTGACTGAATATTTTTCCATGTCTTAAGGAGTTTCTATTGAATCAATGCTATTTTTAAGAGTTATTTTCTTGAGTAAAGTTTTGTACTTCTTTTTCCAAGCTCATTCCAAATATTTCTTTCCCATTTCTCCTTCACTTCTCATTTAGTTTAAAATCTTAAAACAATTTTTAGCTGTTTTTCTTTTTAACTTTTGTTTTATCTCTTCCAGAAATTCTGGCTGGACATGTGCCAAAGCTGTGGAGGTTTTTTGTGTGTGTTTTTTTGTTTTGTATTGTTCTGAGGTGGCTTTACTTATAAATGTTTTAAAGTAGTTTTCTTCTTCTGGATTTGTGTCTTGAAGTTCCCTGTAATTTTTTCCCCTCATTCTTTCAGCTTGCTTTTTGACTTTGGACTTTGTTTTGGGATTGGGCTCTGTATACTTCTAAGGGGAATAACCGCATTGAACTTCTGTCCTCTTAGGTGCTTCTGCGGCTTTTTTTTTTTCTTTTAGGCTGTATATGTGCAATCACATTAAACATATTTCCACATTTGCAATGTTGTGAAAGAAGAATCAGAATAAAAGGGGAAAACCACAAGAAAGGAAAAAAATGCAAGAAAAAAAGGGAGAAACTAGTATGCTTTGATCTGTATTCAGCTTCTGTTGCTTTTTTGAGGTGAATGTTGTATTATTCCAAGAAATCAGTGACAGCTCAGGCTAGGGATCTGGAAGCTTTCAGTGTTCCCAAAGTGATACAATCCAGGGTTAAGGTCTACTCACTTCCTTGGTCTGAGCTCTACAAGTTCCTGACTTAGGTGTGACTCTGGTCTAGGCCTGAGCAAGATCTCTGTTGGCCTGTGGTTGGAAGTTTCAGTAGACTGCTGCTAGACTCAGCCACTAACAGCCCACTGGGAGGCTCTATAGGCTGAGAGTGACTAAACTGCTGGTCCTCCTTTGGGCTGGGATTTCTACCCTGCTTATTCCACTGTAGGCCTCACCCTGGACTGGAGGCAAAAACGGAGTCCCTCTTCTTCTAGGATAAGAACCATGTAGCTACTGCTTGCTTTTGACCTCGTTTCCCACTCAGTACATACCCATGGATCATGACCACAACTGCTTGTCTCTACCACTGTACCACAGAGCCCTCATCAGTACATCCTAGACCTGTGACCTAGAACTGACTATCTTGCACTTGTTTAAGGACCTCCTGGGACCTCTTTCTGCTTGCTGCTTCCTGCCCCAGTGTGCAGTCTGGTCCTCTTTTAGTTCCTCAGTGCTGGAATGCTCTGCGGGAGTGCTGCTGGTCAGACTCCTCCCCTAGTGTCTGCTGACATCTCTCCTCTCTATGCCAATCTGGGCATGAAAAATTACTTGTGATTTTTTTTTCTTAGATTTCCTAATCAGGATTCAGTCTGATATGTTTTTCTAGATGTTTGTGTAGGAGGTGTGGAAGGGGACCTGGCTTGTACTTCTAGCTACTCTGCTATCTTGATTCCACTTCCTTTTATCTTTCAAAGTCCCATCTTTCAATCAGAAGTGATAAAACATTACCTGTATATTTATGTTCTTAATTTTTTTTTTTACAAAATCCTTAAAATTCTTTCCAATCATCCTGACATAAATCATTGAAAAAGGGTAGTGATTCAGGCATCTGATAAGTCTCAGTAGCTTTCCATCCCATTCATCACATGCCCCAGGAAAGCTTTCCCAGTTGGTCATGTTGGATCTGCACATAGCTGCTGAGTTGACAACAATTAAGACATGTTTATTTCCTAAAGGCAGTATGATATTTCCTACTACCTGCTGGTTAAAATGGAAAATTCCTCCAAAGGAGTATTAGCTCCTGTTTCTTCCTCCAAAGAGTTTGTCTAATGGCTCTGGAAGTTTGAAGATTCTTCTTCACTTTCTCTTCTGTGTCACATTCCTCTACTTGACAACCTTTCTAATTTTGATGTTGCTTGCTTCCCCAGAATCTTTTCCTTCCTGATCTTGGATTATATTTTCCATGAGTTATGTTTTTGATATGCTGTGAGGAGTTGAGGAATCATAGCTTTAGGCAGAGCCAAAGTGGGCTCACAGCTATCCATGGTTTGAGTGATTCCTCTCTTCCACCAAAACTCTTAAGACTGGGTTTTTAGGTCATGGACCCTTTGGATAGTCTAGTCAAGTCTATGGACATCTTCTTAGAATAATGTTTTTAGATGCATAAAATACATGGGATAACAAAGGAAACTAATTACACTGAAATAATTATTAAAATAAAAAAAAAACCAATAAGCTCAGAGACCCCAGGTTAAACCCTCTGTTCTCAGAAAAGTCTCTGGAACATTTCCTAAAGTTGCTTTTGATAGCAGAAGTAGTTGTGGTCAGTTAATCCTGTCCTCAAGTGGTTGAGCAAAACTGCATTTAAGGTGCTGGAAGCCTAGTTAACTTCAATGTTCAAAATTTTGTGAACATGTCGAATCTGAGAACAACTCATGTGCCTTTAATATGATGTCTGTGTGGAAACATTTGCTCTTGCAAGCTGTGAATTAGTACATCTGAGTATGTATCAATCTGTGAATTTGTTCAAGCAAAGATTTGAAGGCAGGTTAAGGAATAAGTCCACATTCTGGGCATCCTAGAGAGTTAAATACATGAGTTATATATTTGAATTACCTCAGGTGTGGACTTGCGAGCCAGCGGTCAGTACTGATCTCTGCAATACAAGAGCCCCAGAGCTGGACACAGAGCCAGGATCTAGAAGCACAAAGAAGAATATACATGGCCCTAGATGCAAGCAATCATTGTCTGTGCACTCATCTGAAGGAATGACTGGGAGCCTTGGGTTGAGCTCATCACTGCAATAGCAGCATTTGATGAGGGCAAGTCCCAGATAGGCATACTGTCTTCGCTGGTATTGTTCTGAGTCTCCAGCAACTGGCAACAGGAAAAGGGAAAGCTAGGACAAGGTCTACAGATCCAGGATTGGTATACAACAGTGTCCCTAGGGTTCAAAATAGCATTATATGATTATGGCTAAATCAATTAACACTTCTTTGCCTCAATTTTTCCATCAATAAACCATAAGGCAACATTTTTGCTTATCCTATATCTCATGGAGACAATGTAAAGATTAATGTGAATGCATGGATACACACATATGTATATGCACACACATATCCACATTTAGCTTCTGGAAATGGAAGAAAAAAGCTATGAGCATTCAAGAAGCAATTACAATATAACTGCAGTCCTTGCTAAAAATATAATGTATAGGAACAGAGATATCATATTAGGGAATTTAAGGAGTTTAGGTGGGGGGGTAGTGAAGGAGGGATAGAGGAGAAGGCAGTGTGATGCAGTAGAAAGAGTACTGGCCCTTGAATCAGTGGAGCCAGGTTTAAACTCTGTCTCTAATGATTACTACCTTCGTAATCCTAAGCAAATGATTTAACATCCCTGGGTCTCAGTTTCCTCATCTATAAAGTAAAAAGGCTATGTTGAAAAAAAAAAAAAGCCAGTTGATCTCTGAGGTTTCATTCAGGTCTAGGTCTATGCTCCTATGAAGAATTAGGACAAAACATACAAATGACCTTTAAGATAACATTTTGTTATTTCCAGCTCATTATAACTAATCACATGCCAATCAGCACGTTGAATTGAATTTTCCCCACATCTTTTCTCAGTTTCAACTAAATACCTTCATAAATAACGATGAGTGATTATCTCCTTTGTTTTCTTTTCCTCACCAAAACTTTAAAGTCAAGTTCCAAAGTCTGTTCCAACACAAATCTCTGGAGACAACAGTCCAGTGATGGTGAGAGGTGGGAGGCAGGCACCATTAGTCCTCTGCTGTGAGCTTACTTGCTCTATAGACCACAGCAGCTACCTAAACTGTCAGCTTTCAGTAAAGGAAAGATAATCTAACTGCTATGTTAACACCTATCTGGAAACCTGCCAGCTGTTACAACCCTAAGTATCATGTCTGAAAAGGAGTTCTCTTTTTATTCTTTATAAAAACTGTATTATGTGACAAACTTTAAAGAAACAATCTAAAGTTCCCTTGCTCAAACTGCCTCATTAACCTCATGAAGATAAAACTTGCTACCATTTTAGCAAAATGTCTATCCTCAAAAATTTTTTTTAAGGAATTATCCAGAACCTCAAAAAGACCTTTACCTCAACATATTTAAAGAGCTCACTTTTGTTATGTTAGATACATGGCACAAAAATAATGTATATTCCCTTCTCCTTTTGCCACTACCCCCAACACATGCACATACCCAACCAGGAATTCCAGTATTTGCAGAGAAAATGCTAGCAGCAAGAAACTATCAAAGCCACATTCTGCCTTCTTCCTTGTTTCCTTGGTCCAAATAGAGCAAAGGACCTCTCTGTGGTGCTCTTATTACTACACGGAGTCAGAAAAACCAAGCTGGCAAAATTAGGCTTATAATCAATGAGCCTTTTGTAAAAAGTGAGGGCCCACCAGCATGGTACAAGACCCCTTATGTTTTCATGCACTCAAAATGTCTGTAAGTATATACACACCATCTCCTCCACAGGAGCCTCTGAACAGGCTCACAGCTGTTGATAGTAGGCAGCTTTGAGCAAATGAATAGCAATTTTGAAATCCATCTTTTGCCAGTGGGTCACATTCATAGAACCACCATCCACTGAAGATAAATGAGAATGTAACAGAAAGAGCTGAGCAAGAAAAATGAAAAATATCATTTTAGAGGGACTGAAAGAAAACATTCAAACGGATCCATAATTAGAGCAGCCAGCTTTGATATACGTAGCTTTATGGATTTCCAGCAGCCTGTACAGACCATGCACTGGAACCCATTTGACTCAGCTCGCCAAAAGCTATGTACCACTACTTGAATGTGGACAGACTAAAAGGCTTTAATTACCTGATGTGACCAGTTGAAGAGAAATAGATCATGCCATTTTAATGCTAATATTTGTATTTAGCACACTTTGTACTAATTTTTCCTAACTAGAGGAGGGTTTGCTAGTATCAGTGTTTTCATCCAGTCTCTAAACATTTCAAAATTGAAAGATTCTGCACAGGAAAGTTGGCACTGGGCTGAAAACACTAAAAGGGCAAAACTGTCAAGTCACACTGCTTTGCAAACAGGTTTCTGTGTCTGTACAGTGAGTGTCTTTCATCAAAAACTTCACTTTTAGGTGTCACACATGTGGAAGGGGTGGGGGTTTGCTAACTCTGAATATATAATATCCATTTGCTCATAAAAGACAGTAACATGACAGCATACGGTGTCAACTCATTCATTGGGATGTGCAATTTTCTCTCATATTGTTTTAAGACTGTTTGCCTTCAAAACATAGAAGTCAGAAACAGTGCCTCAAAAGGTTGAATCAGGTATGTTTTCAACTTTGCTTTGCTTAAGAACAATGTAAGACCAGATCTTACTCTATTTGTATCTACTGTCTAGTCCTGAATGTTTAAGCCACTCAATCAAGTATTTGTTGTGATAATGATGCTGGCAGAAAATGTTTATTGGATAGAAGAAACATAGTGTAGTGGTAAAGAGCTTTGGACCTGGAGTCAGAAAATCTGAGCTTGAGCCCTGGCTCTACCACCTCTTAATTCTGACACCTTCCACAAATTGCTTATCCTATCTGGACCTCAGTTTTCTTATCCATAAGATGAGGTGGGTAGACTAGATGATGTCTAAATCTATAATCTATGATCCCATGCAATTCTTAATGACTATGATCCCATGACTCCTTCCATATTCTAACAATCTGTTCTGTGTTCTAAGGTTCTTTTTAGCTCTGACATGTTCTAATGAAGAGACTGAACGAGATGATGGCTAATGTCTCTTCTAGCTCTAAACCTCTGCTCCACCCCTCTCATTTGATCTTCACAACAACCCAGCGAGGTTATTAAATGTAAGTATAAACATTATTATTCCTATTTAATTGATAAGGGACGTCTAAGTGGAGAAGTGGTTTGTCCAAGGAGGTCACAGAAAATTAGTGGAAGAACCAAGGACACTGGAGAGGGATTTCTTTATTTAGGTACAAAATAGAATATTCTATCAAAGGCTATCTTGTGAGGACCCTTCCAATTCCAAAATTCTGTGGTCCTATGAAAAAAGTGCTAAACTTGGTCATTGTTATTGGAGTATAATAATAACAACAATAATAATAATCCATGTGGTCATCTGGCACTAGACTCTCTTTTAGACTATCATTTTATTTTATTTTATTTTTTGGTGGTTTCCTTTAGACTATTATTCTTTGTAGAATGGAGTTTGTTTTAAGTTGAGCATGACTTGGATTTCATTTATGAGATTTATCTAATGAAATATCAAAAGTATATTAATATAAAGTCATTTTTAAGATTGTCTCTTCCTAGATACATGGCTACATACATTAAGGTTTATTTATACCTCTCATGTAATTTACCATGTGTTACTTTGTACTATGGATATTTGCATGTATGTGTGTGTGATGTCCCTGCACAAGGTTGTAAACGCCATGAACTTAGGGACTAAACTAAACTTTTTCTCTCATCTAGCTCCTATGACAATGTTCTGCAAACAGTAGGCATTTAAAAGGTTTGTTGAATTGAATTGAATGACAAGACTCTTATGGCAGCATTATAGTGAGAAAGAGGGAAAGGAGGAAAGAAGGGGAAGGAAAAGAACTAGGCATTTATATAGTGCCAGCTATGTGCCAGCCATTGTGCTAAGTGCTTTTTACAAATATCTCATTTGATCCTCACAACAACCCTGCAAGGAAGGTGCTGCTCTCCCTATTTTACAGTTGAGGAAACTGAGACAAAGAGATATTAAGGGACTTGCCTAGGGTCACAGAGTAGCTAGGTTTATGAGGGCAGATTTGAAATCAAATCTACATGACTCCAGGCTTAGCTCTCTACCCACTGCACCACCTAGCTGCCTAGTGAGACCTTAATATGAATTCTGAATACATGAACAGATTCTTTGAATGGACTGGTAAGTCTAGACCAGATAGACTAGTGACTGTCTACTTTGAAGATCAATCTTATACTTCAGATAAGGTTTCTAAATGCTTTGTGGAATGGGTAAAGAGGAAGGATTACTATTTAGCTAAAAAAGACCAGAGTCTCTATTATAAGCTATTCTCCAAGATACTACTCCTTTTGGCTTTGCAAGGATGAGAGAAAGTAAGTTGTGAACTGATTCAACTATTCTGTAGTGGAATTCGGAACTATGCCCAAAGGTCTATAAAACCATGCATATCCTTTGCCCTAGCAATACCACTATTAGGTCTGTATCTCAAAAGAGATAAAAACAAAAAGGAAAAAATGTACAAATATATTTTATAGTACCTCTTTTCTGGGAGTAAAGAATTAGAAGTTGAGTGGAAGTCCATCAATTGGGGAATGGCTGAACAAGTTGTGGTATGGGATTATAATGGAATCCTATTGTACTGTAAGAAATGGTGAGCAGGATATTCTCAGAAAAACCTAGAAAGACTTGCATGAACTGATGCAAAGTGAAATGTACTGTGTACAAAGTAACAGCAATATTGTAAGATGATCAGCTCTGAATAACTTAGCTATTCTCAGCAATACAACGATCCAAGACAATTCTGAAGGACTTATGATAGAAAATGCTATCCATTTCCAGAGAAAGAACTGATAGTGTCTGAATATAGATTAAAGCATACTTTTTTTTACTTTATTTTTCTTGAGGCATTTTTTGTGTATGTTTTCTTTTACATGACTATTATGGATA